GCAATTGCAGAACTATCTATAACATGTGTACACAGAAGCCTCCTCATGATTATTCACAGCAGCTTTATGACAAGTATCGGGAAGATTTTGAGGAGTATATTAATTCAACGGTAAGAAATATTGCCATTATCCTTTCTTAATTTTTTGGCTGGAAAGATATTTGTATTATGTTGAGTAACTCTCATCTGTTTAGACAATGCTTTTGCTTTGTTCCGTTGTTATTGTTGACTGCTACATGCATGTTTTATTGTGGATCTTCTGTTATTTATATATTACTGAGTCCATCATATGGTTTCTCATTCTATCAGAAAAGGGTGTCTGCTTGAGTTAAAGTAAGACCTATTATTGCCAGAATCCATTAATTTTCTCTGCATATTTTGCTCAGATTGTTGGGATGTCAGACTATAGAAACAAGTCTAGCATCTCACACCTGCATCACCTACATGCTTATAACATTGCAGTGCGATTGATGCTAAGTGTATTCTGATTCAGGTTCTTTCTTCCCAGTTTACAAACTATGTTGTTGCATGAAAGTTGTTCTTATTTACCTCAGTTCAGTTATTATTTTGTTGCCTTGTGATTTTTTTTCCTATGATTGTTATGGGAAATTCTACTTGCTTTAATTATTTTGCTATTGATTGAAAAATTATGAGCATTGTTAAAAAATATAAGGATCATCAAATTGAGTTGCTGATCCAGTTATTTATTATGGACTTCTATTTTTGTTTTAGCTTATTTGATTTACTGCTTATTTTCTCATTTCATCTTCCTTTACTAGGTGTTGCCATCTTTAAGGGAGAAGCATGATGAGTTCATGTTAAGAGAGCTTGTTAAAAGATGGGCAAATCATAAAGTCATGGTCAGGTGGTTATCAAGGTTCTTCCATTATCTTGACAGGTACTTTATTGCTCGGAGGTCACTTCCTGCACTCAATGAAGTAGGACTGACATGCTTCCGTAACCAGGTATGTTGTGAGTTCTTTCTGTATCTAATTGTAACCTTTTGTGCTAGACTTGGATATGCATTGCTTTGTTACAAGGATGCTGTTGACTCATTTTGGGCTATTGATTTTCCTAATTTTAGGTATACAATGATGTAAAAGATGAAGTCAGAGATGCTGTAATTAAGCTTGTAAGTTCCTGCTTCATATCCTTTAGAATTTAGTTCATATTTTGAATAAGGAACAAAGAGTAAGAATTTCTTGGTGCCAGATTGATAAAGAACGTGAGGGAGAGCAGGTAGACAGGGCACTGTTGAAGAATGTGTTGGATATTTTTGTTGACATTGGCATGGGGAAGATGGAACAATATGAAAAAGACTTTGAATCATCCTTTCTCAAGGATACTGGTGGTTACTATTCACGCAAGGCATCAATCTGGATTTTGGAGGATTCTTGTCCAGATTACATGTTAAAGGCAAGAGTCACTGCATATGCCTTTGTGAGATTTTGATATTTTTTATATTGTCTTGTTTTGATGTTCTAACTGTTCTAATGGTTATGTCACTTATAGTGTGAAGAATGCTTGAAGAAGGAAAGGGAAAGGGTGTCCCATTACCTGCATTTAAGCAGTGAACCAAAGTTGGTGGAGGTTAGTTAAAATGTTTGGATATTCACAGGTTCTTTAATGTTAAAATATTAAGTTCATATTTGAGGTACTTTCTCAAAAAGAAATGGAATCTTAGAGACTTTTCTAAACATATAAGAGGGTAATTCTAGTATTTAGTTTAATATAAATAATATTGATGCTATTTGGTACCAGAAAATTCTACTTACATTATATGTTCTACTTCTTCTTGTATATAGAAAGTGCAACAAGAGTTGCTGGTGGTCTTTGCTGGTCAACTACTTGAAAAAGAGCATTCTGGATGTAAGGCATTGCTCAGAGATGATAAGGTATGCTGCAACTGCTACAATCTGCATTCCTCTGACTCTTACTGTTTGCAAACAGGCATATCAAAGTTGACTCTGACTGATGCTTTTTTATACTGTTTTAGGTGGATGATCTTTCTAGGATGTACAGGC